TTTTTAGTTTCTTACCAGAAATCAAACTTTTTTGACGATAATTTTGAAAAGTTATCACATATAGGGAGGGGTGGGTTTGGAGAGGTATATCACGTGAGGCATATGATTGAAGGGGAAGAGTATGCGGTCAAAATTGTTGGCCAATGAATAGACCATGGTTAGATTCCATACATGATGTAGTTTTCACAAGAGTAACCATTTTGTATTATGTCTATTATTGTTTAAGCATGGTTAATTTTATTACGATTTCAACCGTCGGTAAATACAAAAACTGGTACCCTCCCATAGGAATACATTGTTTTGCCCTACTTCATTCAAAAAATTCCTGTGTCAACAATAAGTATACGATTTTGATAAAACTCGGATTCTGGTGCCTAAGAATGTGAGCCTAAATAATGAGACTAATTCCAGGATTCTAGCTACACGGCAACTGAGCTAATATAATACAATATCATTTAGCCCAATATATGAGGAGTGGAAGTTTTATCTTAATCTCTATAAATCCGTTCCTAATGGGGAGGTATTCTTTATGGAGAAGTTTCCCTAAGAGAGGTTATTTGAACATTATAAATATAAGAAATCAAACGAAAATTTCAAATCAGTTTTCTATGAGAAGGTGTTCCCCCAAGAGAAGTTCCCCCAAGAGAGGTTGCACTGTATTAGGTGTTATTAAGGACTCATTTTTTTAATTAAATGTTTAACACATTAACTGTTCTTATTATTCATACAATTAAAAGTATAATTAATTAAAGATATTTTTATAATACGCAATATTATAACAAATGCATAATGATAATATTTTATATTTAGTTTCACAGGTTCTAAAAAATCTATAATTAATTCCAAACTTTAAATTAAATTTTATCAGCAAAATGGCTGACAAACAATCAACAGGTAACAAATGGATAATATTTTTGAACTTATATTTTAACATTTATATTATTTTAAAACAATTTTTTAGTTTCTAACCAGAAATCAAACTTTTTTGACGATAATTTTGAAAAGTTATCACATATAGGGAGGGGTGGGTTTGGAGAGGTATATCACGTGAGGCATATGATTGAAGGGGAAGAGTATGCGGTCAAAATTGTTAAGTTCTTTGGTAATTATAAAAGTACTATTATTTACAATTTATAGAATATAATTATAAGTTAATTTTACAGACATTTATGGCGATCACAAAAGAAAGGAAATTTTAAAAGAGGTCCAAAATTTAGTTAAATTACGTTCAGATTTTGTGGTCAATTACCGCAACTCATGGCATGAAGACAATCATCTTTACATTCAAATGGATTATTATCCACAAAATCTACAGAAGATTATCGATAATAAGCACACAGTCTTTGAGAGACAAAAGGGAGAACCGATGAAAGTCTACGAATATTTTATTTCTTGCGAAATACTTAAAGAACTATTAGATTGTGTGAAGTATTTACACGACTCGTGTCCACCGGTTATCCATCGGGATCTCAAACCGACAAATGTTTTGATTTTACAAAATAGTAATAATAATCGGTTTCTAAAACTTTGTGACTTCGGTTCCGCCACTTTCCACGACATGACATCCATGAGTCACACCCCTAATGTCGGAACCGCACAATATATGGCACCAGAATTATATCAGTCTCGATATACCATTAAGGCTGACATCTATAGCCTAGGAGTCATTGCATTTCATTTGTTTGATTTATTCAATTTGTAAGTTATAATACAGTGCAACTTCTCTATAGTGAACGGCCAGTTGCACGACAAAAGTGTTCATTATAGGGAGGGTACATCCAAGGCAGGTTCGAGTAATAATGTCTTATTTTAAATTAATATTTGATATTTGTTTATAAATAATAACAATTATTTTAAATAATAGGTAATGTTAGTTTGTTTAATAGTAATAAAGTGACCATTAAATGCTTTACTGTTAATTTTCTCCAATTGTTAAAATGTTTGAACATTGGATGCGTCTCTAGATATAAAGTAATAATTTATAGTTCAATAATCAGAGTATGAATATACATTTCTTACAATATTGAATGAAATTTTATATGAAAATGTGTGTTTTGTTTGCATAAAGTTTTAGATTAGCAACTATTTTGAATACTTTTAGGAATAATGTGCTTATTATTATATTTGTTCCTTATGGGAAGTGAAAATTTTATCTTAATCTCTATAAATCCGTTCATAATGGGAATGTATTCCTTATGGAGAAGTTCACATAAGAGAGGTTATTTTAACATTATAAGTATACAACGTAGCGTAATAGCAAAACCGTTTGTTTTTGGCGCGAATACAGTAGTGATTAGTGTTTCCTGTAATACACTTATGTCTCTCTGTGCAGTGTATTGCAGAAAACACTAACCACTACTGTATTCGCGCCAAAAACAAAAGGTTTCGCTATTACGCCACGTTGTAGGGAATCCAACATAAATTTCAAAACCGTTCACTATAATCAGGTGTTTAGCCAAGAGAAGTTGCACTATATTTACATTTACTGTAGAATATAATTAACATTTTCATTTAATTATTTATTATTGTATAGAGCAACTAGCAATAATCCAATGGAAATCTATAATTCATCCGTATTTTCAGTCAATTTTAATAAATTGTTTAAAATCATTGGCCAAATGTCTCATTCAGTTGTATTCAATCGGCCGACCAGTGGTCAAGTTCTCGACGACTACAATAAGTGGTCAGTCGATAGACATATGATTACTGCAAATGAGGAAGCATTTATCAAAATAGAAAAAGCTCTAAAATCTTATCAAAACACATTTTTTAATGAGATATTAAACAGTAAATTACATAATTACACTTGCAGTAATTTGAATAACAAATCAAGTGATTGTTTAAATGCAAATTACGAGAAAAATGTTGCCAACAATGGTGCGGTCAATGAAAGAAGTATAAGTGCTTTAAATACGAAGTTCGAGAATATATCCATTAATCAGAAACTTGAAATAAGTAACCAAAGCCATATTTTAAGTGGTGTTACGTATGGCCATAATTCATCTGATAAACCCAATGTTCAAAACGATATAACTGGTCAATTGTGTAGTTCGGCCGCCGGTGTCCACAAACCGGCCGTTATTAATAAAAATGTTTTAAAGCAGAAATTTGAGAGATTGAATCAAAGCGAGGAAATATTTATTAAACTCAGAGGCGATGACGAGATGGACAGACGTCTGGAGCCCGAGAAACACGAGATGAAGGCCTCGACTGCGGCCGAGAAAGAGAGACAACAAAAGTCAGTGACTTTTAAACAAAGACAACAAGTGGTGATAAACGCGGCATCCGATGTCAATAAACAACATTCGGATTTTGGAAACACTGCAACTCTTAGGTCTATCGATAATAAAGTAGATATTAATTGTATTCAATTATTTCACGTTTTCAATGACATTAAAGGGTGTAATGTATTGTTTGTGACAAACGATGATATGGTTTACGGCATGGGATCTAATAATTGTGGATCACTTGGTTTGGGACACAATAATGCTGTCAATACACCACATATTATACCAGAATTATATCATAAAAATATACGACAATTTATTTGTGGTTGGAATTTTGTTTTATCCATAAATGACAACAACTGTATACATGGTTGGGGCTCTAATGACGGGGCACAGTTAGCCCGATCACCGGCTGATGATTACTTAAAACCAGTCGTCATATCACTGCCTAATAACCCCAAAATCCGTGACGTTAGTTGTGGTGTTATTCACTCACTTGTGGTCACCGGTGATGACTGTGTCTACGGATGGGGTAGTAATAGTGAGGGGCAATTGGGTTGTGGGGAACAGCACTCGACTGCATTCATAATAACTCCAATAAAAATACAATTCATAGACAATGGGATTGAATATAAAATACGTGGAGTTTATTGTTGTTATTATTCCTCGTTTGCCGTCACAACTGATGGCCGAGTCTTCAGTTGGGGTCGAAATGAGTGCCATTTGGGACACAATATATCGGGTAATATATTCAAACCACATATGATTGCCAACTTGATCAACATTCAAACAGTTTGTTCAAACGGAAAACAAACTTTTTTCCTAACAAATGACGGATTTGTGTATTTTTGTGGCAAAAAATACAATAAAGATAATAACGTCAATTCATCTCAGAAATCAACGATAAAATTATTTGATAATGAAAGTGTCACCATGGTCAGTTTATATACTCTCTTAGCATTGCAAAAGATGTCTATGCGTGTAATTTTTAAATCCAGTGATAATAAAATCCATGAAATTAATTCTATACTTGAATTACATAAAACTGATTACAAGAATGCATTTGATTTCTATTTAAATGAATTACAAATGACTTATAAAACAATACATTTATGCGATTATAAAGACTATAATTACAAAACATACGAACAATTTACTGAAATATGTGTACAATTTATAAAGAAAGTGTTAAATATAAACTCAAAAAATATTAGTTATAACACAAATACGCGAAAGAGGTGTCGATTGTCGTAATTAATAAAATATTTTATATAAAAATATTAGACGTGGTTTTTGTATTTACCACTACTTTAGTATTACATGATCATCATATGAGATGATGCAAGTCATGTTTGAATATACTTTTTAAACAAAGCCATCTATGATTCACTGTGCTCAATAGCTCACTGTCTTGCATACAAAAAGTATAGGGACTGTTGTAGTGGTGTATGGAATATACGTATCTATTGGACCAGAAATTTAACGAAAATAATTTTGATATTTTATAAATTGAGATAAAACATATTAATAAATTGTTATTTAAACCAAATTATTAGTAAATAAAATAATAAAAACAAGATTTACTATTCTCTGTATTTGAGTTGTTTTAATATTGGTTTCAAAGTTTAACAAAAATACAATTGAAATAAATTAAATGTTAAAATTCGTGATGATTTTATTAAATCTACCGGGGTTAATGGGATTAATGTTAAGTCTAATGACTATGCTAAGTCTATGGGGAATTCTATGTCTAAAGAGAATTCTATGTCTATTGTACTTAATTATGTGATCTATTATTTGAATAATATCTGAATTGTGGTTAACGTATTGCATAGCTTTGTAATCCGTGTTGTAAATTAAAGGCGAATATTTTGGATATCTAAATTTGGATATATGGATGTATACCCAGAATGTTGTTGTTTTTTCCTAATTATCTTATAAATAATAAATAAAAGGATTGCGACACTCAGTATTGATAAGATCACTACTAGAGCTATTAGGAAACCATTTTGTGGTTTAGTTGGAGACGGGGTAGAGATCGTTGTTGAAGACGGTGTTGAGATAGTTGTTGGAGAAGGTGTTGAAATAGTTGTTGGGTCCGAGACTGTGCTTGTAATTAGTGTAGTTGTGATGATTGGTTTATCACAATGGGTTTCATCGTCACCTGCGGGACAGTTGCGATGTTCATCGCATAGAAATGAATTGGAAAGGCATTGATTGCCTGCACTAGAACTGCATTTGGTATCACTATTCGCTATACAATAAGACATAATCGGATCTGTTTTATAACAAAAATTATAAATAAATATAATTTAAAAATGACAAATAATGTGATATTTGTCACTTAAGTCATACCATGATATTCAGTGACGATTAAATGAAACCTCGAATTACTATTATATCCGGCATGAAATATAATTTCAACGACGCCAGATTTTCCTTTAAAAGCCATTCCAATGTTTGTTGTATTACTATTACACCATTTTGTTGAAGACTTGTCAACCGAACTCTTAATTAATAAATAGTCATCACACGAGTCATTAGGGCTTCCAATATTGATCTCATCGCTACCCAAAACGATGCCTCTTTTTGTGAGCAATGAAGATATAGGTATTTGAATACCAAGAATGCACTCGTTTTCTTTTAACATTCGAGAATCATTGACCAATAGGTATATAATGGCCGGAATTGCAATATCATTTGTGTTCTTTCTTGATGTAATCAATGGTGCCGTTAAATCCTCGCAATAATCCTTAATGTTGTCTATAAAATGGCCAAATATATTATAAATTAATTAAAATTATTTTATAAATAGATGGTAATAGTTAACTAAACTTAAAGTTGTCTAATTTCACACAATTGGGACCATAGTTTTCGTTGTGTGAAATTTCAAAATGTGAAATTATAGATAGAAATGTTGCATCACTTTTTTCAATTGTCTATACATATACATGGTTTCTAAACATGATTTACATAATAGACTATAACTAATGGTAGGCAATGAGTTATTTGAGTGATTTACAAGCCAACATAAACACATTTTGTTAGAAATAAATACTTTCATTGTTTTACACTAATTTTTATTCACAAACTTGCCTGAAATCATAAAAATTGCTTGCATTAAAATGTGAAAATATAAGATGCTTCCTATGCACATCATGTTAAAACAATCACAATTATTTGTAAAAGTGACATTATAGAGCTGTGAAATTAACCCATACTAAAACATATACCCAAAGATGGGTTAGTAATATTCTTTGAATTTAGACAACTTGTGAAATAGTACAATGTGAAAATAAACGACTCTAAGTGTATAATGTTTGATTCAAATTTGCATTTAAAGCAATTTCCAGACATTTTTATTAACTAAATTTACATTTACTTACATTTGAAATAAGATGTAATACAGTAAGTATAACTGAAATCCACGATGACAATGAAAAAGAAGTACAAATTCGTTTTTGACCACATACTAATGAAAAAGTTAATTATGACTAAAATTTAAAACAAAACTAAAATCAAATAAAATTATTATGATTTATATGTAATTAATTAACAAAGTCTTGAATGAGAAACTAATTAAAAAATAAAACACAAGTTGTATTTCATTTTAATATAACATTGAAATTAAATAAATGTATAATAATTGCAATTCTTATCATAAGTTATTGTCTGTAAAGTGAATAACAATTTGTATTAATAATCGGTCTCCATAACTATAAATGCCTTTGATTATAAAGAAAATAATATATTAGGTTAATCAATAAATCTTTGTCTTTTTATAGATGCAGTGAAAATAGGATTGTAACTATGGTCAGTTTATATGCTTTTCCAACATGGACAAAAAAGTATTTTCGTGTAATCTGTAAATCGAATGATAATAAAATATATGAAATTAATAATTCAATTAAATTGTTTGAGACTGACTACACAAATGCTATTGATTACTATTTCAATGTAATGCAAATGACTTATTAAACAATACATTTATGCGATTATAAAGAGTATAATCACAAAACATTTGAACAATTTAAACTTAAATGCTTAAAAGTTTCTGTTAAGATAAATAAATAATAAATTGTGCTATGATTGTTCGATTATTAACAAAATATGAAATTGATAATTTTAAGCAAATTTTTATTTAAATAAAATTTAAAATAAATAAAATAATAAAACACCATTTACGATGAATTGCCTATATTTAAATTGTTATGACATTGATTTGAAAAATAACCATAGATTATGATTGGGGCGAAGCTATTTATAACTTGACGTGGTTGCTGTATTACCTTGATAATTTATAACCTATTATATGAGTAAGAAATGAATAGAGTATAAATTACATAGCAATAAAATTGATCTGACGCTGATCTGACCCATACATAGCATAGATACAATCGAAATGAATTATTTATGGTTTTATTACAAGTGTTTACTGATTATTACATTTAATCTAAACAAGGATCACACAGCGATGCTATACGTTAACCACTATTCGGGAAATGCATCAAAAGATTTTAAATTTTTCAATACGATTGTTAAAATACTTTCACTATTATTATTTTGATAATTTTAAATGTTTAGTGTCCGGAGACAGGAGTTCCGTCTTCTCAGTACTCATACTATAATTGGAGTTAGAGTTCGAGCAGACATTGTTTGGCACCAAATAATCGGTCGCATCTGGCGGTGGACGCATCAAGGTCATCTACAAGTAAACAATCATGGTCATCCACATTTAATCACATTTATTGATTCAATTCACTTGTAAAACTATATATCATTTACTTCTTAATTTGATTGTTAATTATAATTCTTAAATTACTGTATTCTATGATTTATAATAATATTTAATTATTATAAAGTATGTATCACAAACAAGGATCACACAGCGATGCTATGCGTTAACCACAATTCGGGAAATGCATCAAAGATTTTAAAATTTTCAATACTATTGTTAGAATACTCTCACTATTATTATTTTGAGAATTTTAAATATTTTTGACAACAATTAGTTCTATTTACATAGACTTATCGTTGTTCACATAAGCTGTAATCCCATGTTAAATCCCATATGGTGGGGGGCGGAGGGAGGAGGGGGCCGAACGATCATATAAACCACATTATTTATACTGAATTGTGGTTAAAAATTACTGAATACAAGTAATTTAATTACAACAAAATCATCGTTATATTTTTAACCACAATTCAGAATGAAGAATGTGGTTTATAGGATGTCGACGCTACCCCTCCCCTCCCCTATTTATGGTACTAATGCTAATCCTATGGACAATGTTAAGTCTATGGGTAATGCTAAATCTATGGGAAATTCTAGGTCTATGGGACTAATGATAAGTCTATTGCAATGCTAATCCTATGGGACTAATGTTAAGTCTATGGACAGTGCTAAGTCTATGGCAATGCTAATCCTTTGGGTAATGTTAAGTCTATGGAGATATGCTAAATGAATCTGACATAATAAATAGAACTAATTGTTGTCAAAAACATTTAAAATTATCAAAATAATAATAGTGAAAGTATTTTAACAATCGTATTGAAAAATTTAAAATCTTTTGATGCATTTCCCGAATAGTGGTTAACGTATAGCATCGCTGTGTGAACCTTGTTTTATTAAATAGTATAATTGAATTATTTATAAGTTACATTAATTTATATAATTTACAATTTTAATCAAGAATATAGTAATAGTGATGTTTTATATATTTTTATTTTTCTATTTAAGTCTACAATTATTAGTATTAATTTATTACCACATCTTAAAATTAATCCTACAATAAAGTGATAATATTAAAAATCAAAATGGCTGCCAATTATTCATATTCTAGCCAACAGATGTCAACAAGTATCATCATTTAAAAATATATTGATTATTTTATATTTCATATATTTATGATGGCGGGTTTTCCAGAGGTGGCTAAGCTCTGGATGCCGATTACCTCTTGGGGGTATTATTTGGTGATCTTCTTGGGGATCACAAACCTTTGGATGTAATTGTTGACAATGGTTGAGTTCCTCTGGGGGTTTCACACCTTATCCCACTGCCGTCGGGGCTTCACGCCGGTCCCACTGCAGTTGGGGCTTCACGCCGGTCGTACTGTGTGTCGGATCTCCCTGTCCACCACTGGGTGTGGACCAAGAGTTGATATCGCGGATCACTCGGTGATACGCGAAAGAAGACACAGCAGTAAGACTTATAATATTTTATTGTATACGGTTTGACGGGTGGGGAGGAACTGAATGCCAGAGACAACAGTCGCTCTCTTATACCCAGAAGTACAGTTAGGGTTCAATAGATAAGAGGGATTATTCCACTGGTGGGATAATCCCTAAAACTCAGTTACAGTATAAAAAGACTTTAGTAAAAATAAAAGGAATTGACTAAAAAGTGACAACAAGTGATTGACTAAAGTTATGGGGGAAAATCCGCCATCACATATTTATATAAACATCTTTATATATTTTTGTTTGATTATTTTAATAGTTTCCAACCAAATGTCAAACTTTATTGGCGATAATTTTGAAAAATTGCAAACCATAGGGAGGGGTGGGTTCGGAGAGGTATATTTATATCACGTAAGGCATAAAATAGAGCATGAAATATACGCGATTAATATGGTCAAGTTGAATGGTAATTTTATTGAGTAAAAACTATTTGAATATAATTTACATAATGGTTATTTTGCAGACACTAATGACAATTGCAAGCGACAAAAAATACTGAAAGAGGTCCAGAATTTAAAAACACTTCTTTCGGAATATGTGGTCAATTACCACAACTCATGGCTGGAGGCGAATCATTTGTTCATTCAAATGGATTATTATAAGCAAAATCTACAGACAATTATCGCTAATAAGCACATTGTGTTTGGGAGACAACCGGAAGAGCCGATGAAAGTATACGAGTATTTCATTTCTTGCGAAATATTTAAAGAACTGTTAGAATGTGTGAAATATTTGCACGACTCGTGTTCACCGGTTATCCATCGGGACCTCAAACCGTCAAATGTTTTGATTTCACAAAATAGTAAAAATTCTCGTTTTGTAAAACTCTGTGACTTCGGTTCCGCCACTTTCCACGACAAGACTTCTATGAGTCACTATAAAAATGTCGGGACTTCACGATATATAGCACAAGAAGTAAATAACTCGAGATATACTATTAAGGTTGACATCTATAGCCTGGGAATCATTGCGTTTGATTTATTTAATATGTAAGTAATTAATAGACTGTTTGCAAATTGATAATAAAATTTTTATTAAAAAGGTTATTGTGTATTTTAAATAGTAAGGCGTAATTTTTGCAATGTCATTTAAGATAATTTAACATTTATGACATTTTTTGTGAATTGATTCTAAGATAATAATTATTTACAAATTTCTAAATTAAGAATCCCTGTAAAATGGAAAGCAAGCCTAACCATGGACAATCCACGAGTATTAATATTAATAATAACAAACATGTGCACATCGGAAGTGTGTTAAATCAATCGACAACACATATTCACAAATAATAAATTAAATGATTCAAAGTTTTAGTAATAATCTTACATTAAAATGAGTTAAATAATAAACAATCACATTAGCAATTATTGATGTAAATGGTTTATTGTTTTATCACAAGATTAATGCTGGTTAATGTAATTTAGAACTGTACTGAAAATTTTATTATATTTATTAAATAATACTTTTTGAAAACTACTGGTTATAATAAGTACATTGTTGCAAATTAATGCAATATACATTAAACATTTGATATTGTGTTTATAAATGTTTATTTTAATCAGAATAGGTTGTATAAGACTTATTTAAAATATGCAGATTAAATGTCGCAAGACTTAATTATAATGCAAAATAGTTTTTATAATAATAATATACAATAATAATATGTACATTATATTACATATTAGCAAAATATAAAATATTCTTTGATGATTAGTAATGTGGCGCATTTATCTGTTTAATTTTTAAGTGTTTATAAACAAATGTTTTGAATAAAATGCAAAACGACATTATTATCATAATCACAGAATCGCATATAATATAATACAATAATGACAGAATCGTAGCCATTATACAGTGTTTCCAATGGTTTTCACTTGTAATCACAATTTATATAAAAGTACTTATTTTCAAGTGTTATTTATTGATTGGGAATTTATTCATATGTCCTTTTGTGAATTTCAATATATATTTATTCACACAATTAAAACGTAGTTAAAATGTTAATTTAAGTCATATTATAAATGTTTAACGCAATAATCAATAATTTATTTAATTTCTGTTAATTAAAAAAATATTCTAAATTATTCGCTAGAATTTAAACAGATATACTGTAAGTGAATTTAAAATTAAATATATTTACAATCATTATTACAATTTTATAAAATAATTATAAACGTAAAAATAATCTATATATACTTTATTATAAATTGTTTAATTAATATATTTAAAATTAATCTGAATAAAATCAATTAAGAATAATATGCAAATAAATCCATAATAATATTTTGCATAAAAAGTGCAATGGCGTCTAGCAATTCAACAGGTAATATGAGTAACTATAGTAATTTTTAACTGATAAATTGTACATTTATGTTAAAAATTATTATTCAGTATCCTCGTTAAAAAGCGAACTTTTTAACGGCATGTTTGAAATGATGTCACATATAGGGAGCGGAGGTTTTGGTGACGTATATCAAGTGAGACATAAATTTGAAGGAAAGGTGTACGCGGTTAAAATTGTCAAGTTTGGAGGTACCACAATTTATTACAAATTACATATTTAACCACAACTTTTAGTTTTAATTATATTTGAAAAACACTGCTGAGATTATTTGACCAACTCTTTACGGTATTTTGCAGATACTTATGACAAACAGAAACAAAAAGTAATATTAGGCGAGGTGGAAAAACTGGTAAAATTACAATCTGATTTTGTTGTCAATTACCATAATTCATGGCCTGATGGCAATCAACTGTACATTCAAACGGATTATTATCCACAAAATCTACAGACAATTATCGATAAAAAACACATTGTTTTTGAGAGACAACCGGAAGAGCCGATGAAAGTCTTTGAATATTTCATATGTTGTGAAATATTCAAAGAGCTCTTAGAATGTGTTGAATATTTGCACAAATCGTGTCCACCGGTTATTCATCGGGACCTCAAACCTGCAAATGTGTTGATTTTGCTAAACAATAATAACAATAGATTCATAAGATTAGGTGATTTTGGTTCCGCCACTTTTCACGACATGACTATCAAATCCATGAGCCACACCTCTAATATCGAAACCGCACAATATGGGACGTAGACACTTGCTCGAACCCCACTTGCTCGAAACCCACTTGCTCGAAAGTCACTTGCTCGAAACCCATTTGCTCGAAACCCACTTGC